TTTAGGATAAATTATTGTGCATATTAACTACTAATTTGCTTAATTAGTTAATTTGTCTAAGAACCACTCATTGAATTTTAATGAAACTTTAAAGAGTGCTCATCACATTTCAATGAACCTACATGTGTAGGACTATACACCATATTAGTTTTGGTAAATATTCCTGCTTCTTAATCACCTAATTAACATAATTAATTAATATTGATATCTCAAGTATTGATCATCACATTTGAATAAAACTTGGTACATAAATGCTCTAGGACAATAGACAGCCTGATTAATTTTGGGTTAAAATCTGTTCATATTAATTCTCTTAATTAGCACAATAATTAATAATTTGTTGGTTCTAATCACATTTCAATGAAACTTGGTACATAGATATTACATTACGCAGATCTTATTACTTTTACATTGCGCAGACCTTATTAGTTTTACACTTAAATGTGTTCATATTAGTTACCTTATTTGCATAATTAGTTTTCTGCATTTCCATCAATATCTCAAGTTCAAGTAATTTTGAATTAATTTTTAATGTGTCTCCAATACTCTCAGCACACGGGAGTTCTTTCTAAGCTTTCTTTGATTATGTAAATAAAACTGCAAATACAATTTTAGATGGTTTGTACAAATCCAATCAACTCATTCTGTATCTGTCTATAGTATGTAATAAAGTACCTACAAAATAGAAATACCAAACTCACTAACAGGGAAAATCACCTTGTATTTGATTATTTATTCAGAGTGTACACCTGAAATAGGATCTGATGGATTACCAGTCATTACTGAAATAGGTGAAGAATCTGATTCAGATGATGAATCTTGCAGTGGGAGAAGAAGAAATGATTGTCTTAGAGGAAGTGGCAGTCAGAGTCAAGAAGGCATTCTCACAGACAAAGATGTAAGATTTTTAAATGTTGTTTTGCAATACAAAACATATATATTTTTAATTGAAATGAAATGAAGTTCTAGTCTTATAAATTAGTGTTAAATTATGTGATAACAAATATGTACTATTGCACAATTTCCCTAAATTTTGTCTGCATAACGTACTCAACTAGTGACAACACACTGTGAATGATTGTTACTGTGGTCATGTGAAAACAATAACCACTGATAAATGATTGAAGTAAATTCTTGTCATAATTCCTCTCTCTAATACAAATAAAAAGAATATATAAATTAGGTAGGGAGACAA